GGAATGAGTTTGATAAATGTATGTACCCTCTTTGGATATAAAACGCAATATGTTTATTTGCTAGAAACCATTTTAATGCTTGAAACCTATTTTATTATCTGTCTTTGCTTCATGTATTAGCTGCAGTAAATCAATCGAATTTATAAATAAGAGTGCTCAGTAGAATTGATAAATAAAAATATTCAGTAGTATTTATACATTGAAGATCATAAGTCAACAGAAATGTTAATGATACAGAAAATTCAGTTTTTTAATACATTGCTTGCTATACAAATAACTTGCATACAATTCAAATAAATTGTATTTAATTTGAAGGAATTGCATACAATACAAATAAATACATGGATTAGCTTTAAATGTAGATTTCTACGTGTTTGATAACCAATGTAATAATGCTTTAAATCTATTATAATATCTATTTGTGTTTAATGTATCAGCTTTTGTAAATCAACACAATCTATAAATGAGAATATAAATAAGAATACGCAGTAGTGAAGAAAATATGGTTTTGTAACAACTTGCTTGCTACTTAAGTGAATTGTATTAAATTCAAATAAATACATGTATGAGTGTCATATGTAGATTGCCACGTGAATAAATATATAATAATTCATGAAACCCTTTTTAATATCGTTTCGTGTTTCATATATCGGCTGCTACAAATCAGCAGAATGAACTGTGTTCAATTCAAATGAATTGAATGCATGCATCAGGTATAAATGTAGTTCGCAGCCTGTTAATTTGTTGAAAGAATTTAAGTATTATTTTTTTTATCTTAACTTCATGTATTGTCTGTAAATTAGCACATATATAAGTATAATTCGAGAAATTGAAGTTTTTTTTTTATATAATGCTTTTTAAAATATGTGTAAAAACATTGGAAAAATAATGCGATTTAATTATCTATACAAGGTTACAAGGTTATAATAATGTTTGAAACATATTTTAAGTTCTCTAATTTTTTATGTATTTGCTAAAAACATGAAAAGCTTATTCGTACAAAGAGATGATCAATAATGCAGCAATAGCTTGTATGTACAATATGCAAAAAAAAGAGAAAAAAACCGGGCCTCCCTCAATAACTTTTGATCTAATTTTCAGACCATCACGTTCTAGGACTCAAAGATAATGGTTTGGGGGAGCGACCTTCAAATATGGTAATTAATTAGTGCATACGATATTTAAAAATACGAAATCAGGCACAAAAATGCACGTTCATTGAATAAACATACCTTTTTTTCGACAGATTCAGGATTCCAAATTATAGGAGGTAGCTGCAATCTGGGAAATATGGTCCCCATAGTTTGTTCAGGAGAGCGATCCAAAGTTTGGGCAGCAAAAAGTAAATTTTTTTTTCGTATTTCACCATATTTCGAGAGCTTAAGCGAATTTAAAAATTTTTTACCCACAACTATAAAATTTGTTTATCCCTAGATAATACCATGCAGAAAATAAATTTTAGTAAATAGTTATTATTATTATTATTTTATTTAATAACAGTCGACAAATTTTAAACTCAAAGGTATGCAATATTTTACATCATTTTAAAGCATGTAATTTTACAAGGCAGAATAAAAAATTGGATCGAAATTAGTTGTATAGCTCTTAAGAAAACGAATTTTAAATATACAACTTTTAAATCGGGACCACATTTCCCAGATTGCTGTTAACCACTATCATTTGGAGATCTGAACTCGAAATATCCCGTTAAAAAATGGTTTGTGTAAGCAGAGAAAGGGCTTTTTTGTGTAAAATTTCGTAACTTTCGTAACTAATTATCGTATGCGCTAATTAATCAGCATGTCTGAGGTCACCCCCTTGATCCATTAAAATTGAGTTTAAGAACGTGAAGGTCCGAATAATTATTCATGGTTGTCCATTTTTTTCACACTGCAAAAAAATTCAAAATTTTTGATGATGCAGATGAGCTTTTTCTTAGAGTATACATGCAAAAAACATCTGATGAGTAGATAATAATTGCTATAAAAGCTGTGAAAGAATCATCCATATTGAAAACAGACTTTTTAAAAGTAATTTAAATGATTTAACTGCGTATAATTTAAATTTCTAGAGAGGATATATTGGAGCAAGTAGGTGAGTTTGAATACAAGACGAATTATCAAAAATTTCTTTTAAAATATCCTTTCCCAACTAAATGTATAATTCTCATAATAAATCATCCTCACTTACTGACAACGACAGTATGCTTTTATAAAATATACTTAACCAGATTGGTTTAAAAACATCTTTTGCCAAGCATACTTAAAACTCTCCTGAAAATCATTTACTCTTACGGACAATGCCAGTATGCTTTCATAAACTATACTTAACCAGATTGGTTTGAAAACATGTTTCATCTGTCAAACTCAAAACTCTCCAAAAAAAGCATTTACACTTATGGACAATGACAGTATGCTTTCATAAAATATACTAAACCAGATCCGTTTAAAAAAATCTTTTGTCAAGCAAACTTAAAACTCACCTAAAACTCATTTACACTTACGGACAATGACAATATGCTTTCATAAAATATACTTGATCTGATCTTTTCTATATAAGTTTTTATGATTTGAAAGAAAATATCTGAATCACCAGATTTAAAACGATAGATTTCGCACAATAAAAAAAATAAATGAAGTAAAATAAAAATTTGTTTTATACACGCAAGGGATTCAAAGATATTCAGTTTGTAGTAAAACTTGAAGAAAATGACAAAAACAATTCCTTTTCTTTTGAAAACTTAATTACAGCAATGGTTTGCCGTTAGGGATTTCTACTCTCTTCTCTGGCAAATTTTTTAAGTCGTAGTTATTTTTAAGATTAAATATAAAGGTTTTTTGATATGAATGAGAAAAAAAAATCATTTGAATTATCTTTCTGAATTGTAAGCAACATTGTGTTTTTTCTTAAGTAAGGTATATGAGTAAATTATATTTTCAGTAAGGTTATTTAATAATTAATCAAACGCATTATCTGAAGAGGAAAAATCTTTTATAGATTACACCTTGCTGTTTAAAATAAAATTTTGTTTCTTCTTAAATTTTTTATGAATAAATTATATTTTTATTCGGCTTATTTAAATATTTCGCTCAAGCTAAACATATTATCTCAGCCTATTATTAACAATCACGCTTTTAATCTCTGCATATTAAAAATTTAAATTCTTCTTTTGTTTTAATTTCAGGTGTATAGGGTGTTATAATAGTGACAGATAAAATTGTTTTAGGAATTATAAGACTTTTTGTTGTAATGATATAAATTCAAGACAATTATTACAGATGCTGATTTTAAATTAAATGCATATTTTTTGCATCGTAAGACTGAAACTATAAATTAAATAAAACTTATCTTAGTAGAACTTGAAACTAGTACTAGTGCTTGAAAAACTAGTACTTAAAAAATACATGAACTAGTACTTGAAAGTAGAACTTGAAAGTCAATTAATATATATTTATTATATATAATTAACTTCGAAGTTCATATAAGTCTTCTATTAAATTATACTATTCTTCCTCAACTGAACTAAACACTCGTGTTTGTAATAAATAAATAATAATATTTCTTTTGAAATATGGAGTTATGGTTAGCTTAAATAAACAGTTACGTCAATATGTTTAAGAAAGTCATAATAAATAATTGGGGAATTTTTTTCTACGTCAAACTAATTACGAAAAAAAACTAAATTCGGAAACTTATTTTTATTAATTTTTATTTTTAAGTAGATATGACGAAATTTGTTTTTAGTATTATTTAAAACATGGTTTAATAATGAACGAGACATTTTTATTTCTAAAATGTTATTTTGTTTACAATTTTTTGACTAACATAAAAACAAGATTTTGGGCAAAATTTTTTTAAATTGAATTTACTATAAATTTAGAATTCCTGCACTTTTAGCTTTCTAAAAATAATTTAGTTTTGTTTGTACATCATTTATTTACAAAGTTATGGCAATTTTTGTGCATGGTTATAGCAGAAGATACACTAATGATTATTAGTCTTTAAATGCGTTTACCTCAATTTCAGATTTTTTTCACATTTTACACTACCTCACTACCATAATCACGATATCTCATGCTGTGTTTAAAATATTTGTCTACAATTTTTCATGAGAATTTATGATTATATCACACATGTTTTGAACTACAGAGAAAAATGTAAGCACCATTTTTTATGCATGTTTTTTTGCAAAGACAAGAGCGGAAATTTCACATTTTTTCCCCAACTACATTGGTCCCTAACTCAGCAGTTCATGCACTTGCTTTTAAGATAATATTTCAAAGCATAGTTGATAGCCTTCTAAACAAGATCCTCCAAAGATTTTTTGTTCTAGGAGATAGAAATTTTTTTTTCTACACTGTTTAACGTTTATGCAAAAACAATGCTTTATTTAAAAATGGCCATTTAAAATAATAAAAATATTTTTTTTTCTAGTTTCATACTTTTTTTCACATAATAAAGCAAATAGACTAGTTTTTTTTTAACTTTATATAACTTTTTTTAAAAAAGTTTTGTAACTAACCGGATACCTTAATCTTATGTAAACGTCAAATGCTAATTCGTTAACATTCTAATAATTTTAAATGTTAAAGTGAGCTCAAAATTTTGAAGGTAGTGCTTTATGTTAAACCATTTTTTTACCTTAACTCAAAAAACGCAAAACACAAAATCAACAGAAATAGAGTGTTAATTTTAGCAATAGAGAATATTGTGTTGTTATATCATTATTTCTGATTACAATTAAACGGTCTAATCGGTCTCATTATCGTTAAAGTCAACAGAAATAATCAGACACTTTATATGCAAAGGTTTTTCAAAACTTCTGTGATTACTTAATTGCCAACTGTTTTTCATTGCAGCAACTGAAGAATTGTACTTACTGTATAATTATATACAAGTGTATTTACTCTTACAACTGTATTTAAACGTTTCTATATAATCCTCATAAATATAATTGATATTATATTATTTAACGGAAATCTAAAACTATTTATTTTCTTTTAGCTGGCCGTGATCCACCGAAACTTCCAGTTCTACTTTTCATCCATGGTGAATCATATGAGTGGAATGCTGGTAACCCATATGATGGTACCATTCTTTCGAGCTTAGGGAACGTTGTAGTAGTTACAATTAATTTCAGATTGGGCATTCTCGGTAAGAATTATTTCTTTATTTTAAATATCCATGTAATCCATCCTACTAATTAATTTTAATTTAATTTTAATTTAATTTTAATTTAATTTTAATTTAATTTTAATTTAATTTTAATTTAATTTTAATTTAATTTTAATTTATTTTTAATTTCAATTTATTTTTAATTTCAATTTATTTTTAATTTCAATTTATTTTTAATTTCAATTTATTTTTAATTTCAATTTATTTTTAATTTCAATTTATTTTTAATTTCAATTTATTTTTAATTTCAATTTATTTTTAATTTCAATTTATTTTTAATTTCAATTTATTTTTAATTTCAATTTATTTTTAATTTCAATTTATTTTTAATTTTAATTTATTTTTAATTTCAATTTATTTTTAATTTCAATTTATTTTTAATTTCAATTCATTTTTAATTTAAATTTTGTTTTTGGTTATAGTCGTAAATTTGTCAATGCATATCATTGATCTGCTCATTTTGAAGTTTAATTCTCAGTTTGTAAATTGAAACCAGAATTACTCGAAAAATTTGTAACAAAATTTTTACGATGAGGATCTTAGAGACAGTGTTAAGGATATCTAACAGTTGCGTTTTGCCTCAACTAGTATATGCTGGAGGATCATCCGGAAAATAAAGTTTCCAACGGCCCATACACAGGAACAAAAAATAATTACCTGGAAAATATAATTAAATATGATACATCTACAGGAAGAAAAATATTATGATTAAATTAAATAATGTATGATAGGGACATTTCTGGTAAAGAAAAGTTCATAACTCTGGTTAATAATCAAAATGTATGGTATTTAAGCTAGTTATTTGTTATTTTTCGTTCATATGGTAACGGCTTATTGTAAGTTCTGATCCTTATTGCCACACATTTAGTAAAAAATACAAAACTGAAAACTTAATTTAACCGAATGAATGGTACTTTAACCATGATACTCTGAGGCATCATGGTGAAATCATTTTTATTTTATCAAAATAATTACCGAAACACTTCGGTGCAAATTACCGAGCGTTATGATGTTCCCATAAGGTCAGAAACAGGGTAAACTTTAATATATTCTGGCAGATTGACCATACTTTTTTTCAGCGTGGAAGTAATAAATTTCTAATCTCTTCATATTCGAATGCTATTTTCAAACACAAATTTACATGCTTTAATATTGTCCCCTTAAATAACATGATACTATAATTTTTTTTCTCAATGTTTCGAAATAAAATTAGAAGCGACTTCAAAGAAAAGTACCGCATAAATGGTACCTTTATGATGATGCTTTTAGGCACCATGTTAAAGTTACCGAACTTTATTACGATGCATTACCACATTTTCCAAATTTCATAACTTATTATAAGACTGCATTGTATCATTAATTTTACCAAAATAATGACCAATTCGCCTTGGAAAAATTATCAAGCTTTTTGGTGTTTTGATAGAGCCGGAAACGCCGTAAATATTACCATATTCTAGCATTACTTTTCATACATTTTACTTCATTCGTTTTTTTCAGTGCATTATATTTGGCATAAGAATCAAAATTATAATTAAGTAATGGAAAAAGATGTATTCAAATATTAAATTTAAAGTAGTAATAATAGGGATTGTTCCAATTTTGTTTAATAAAAATTTTAAGCTTTTTCATTATTTTTTTGACATTTTAAATTCAATATAAATTTGCATTTCATCCGAGAATAAACAATTGCTTATGTTTTAAAATTTCGATTATGAAGCAAAATGGGTCAATAAATGTTGCACACCTTGCAACTTGCATTTTTAAAAACATGCCTTTTAAAATATATAAATTAATTGATATGATTACTGATAATTCAATACTACTTGTTTAAAAAATATAATAAACAAACCAAAATTTGTCTCCAGGGATGTGGATTTAGTGCATTTTTTGTTTTGAATCAGCAAAAAGTATCTGTCCTATACAAAACTTTTTGCATCCAAATGCATGACAATTTGAAACAATCAGTTTCTCTACAGAGCATCTAGTCAGTCTTTTAAAGTAGGGATATAAAAGGCTGAGTTCATGAAAAATCGCAGTTGTATTTTTGTTAGACAGTAAGATTAATTTGAACAAACTGTCTGCCGCTTCACTAAAGATTTTTTTTGTCTCTCTTCTAAGGATTCTTTTTTTTCCTACAGGCTTTTTCACCCTTTCATCTAGAGAATTTTTCTTTTCTTTTGGTGTTGATTTCTGGAATTAGTTGATTAAGGAAAGGCTGATTTTTTTCTAAAAGAAATTTCTTCCTAGATCATTTATTGACGTATTAAACAAGCTAAATTGGTATCAACATAAGCTCAATCTGAGTACTTCTTTGTGAGCTAGTGTTTTGTCGTGTTAAAAAATCTATGTTGGACTTTCTTTCCGGCTAAATTTTTGCATAGGAAAAAGTTTTATTAAAATTTATTCCGCTGTATTTTCAGTTAAAACAAAAAATTATAGCTTTTCGTCGTTTGAAGAAATAGCTTTAAAGAAGAAATAGATTTTAAGAAATAGCTTTTGCTTCTTTTGCATTATAATAAGTAATTTTAGATATTTTTGAAATATATAATAAATCAAGTATGCTTAAAATTCAGTGCTTTTCAATAAGATTTAAAATTACATGAGATGAATTAAGAATTATTAAACAACTTTTTTTATGTTAATAACAACTCTCTGAGCTTAAAAAAATAATGCAACATTATACTACCAATTGCACGGTTAATTCTTGGGAGTATGAAATTCTTAAAAGTATGAAATTATGTAATTTCGTAAGTGAATTTGATTTTGAATGAATTGACAAATGAATTAAATTTCAGGGAGTATGAAATTTTTGAAAGTCCAAGCATTGTATCACTGGTTTGGCTTTAATCTGTTGTGCATATAGTTTTAATAGCAAAAGAGTCAAAATCTGTTTTACTTCATCGTATGAAAATGTACATGGCAGGTTGGAATGATTTTTTGATCACTCTGGGATCGTTAACCATATATGTATCTAAACAAAAGACAAACCACCTCATGTTTATCTTAAATCCTTCCAAAGTCAATGAGATTTATCTCAGATGAAGTGGAAAAAGTAACTCAATGCTGAGAATCTTAAAAACGGATATCTCAAACTCTTAAAGTTAACTTTTAAACTGATTTGAGAGCATTCTATCAAATGATCAAGTGATATGAACATATGCATGGAAAACATTTTTTATAAATCCTAGGAGCAGATCTACATTACTTTTCATCTGCAAAGTCGGATGCATTTTGGCAGATTTCAAGATGTCGTAAAATACCGTTGGCAAAGTATTAGCTATTAATGTCAACGTTGGGCCACCCTGCCGTTTGAGTAGCAGACGGTATATGAGGAAATTGTAAATTTCGAAAATCTATGGAAAAGAAGTAAGATATAAAGGTGGTGTTGAAAAATGGGTGGCAATTAGCAGTTTAAGTCCGACTAGCACTGAACAATTTGACCCATCGTGCAGTCGTGCTGTTACGCATTTTTACTACAGGCTTCAGATAATCTTTGAGAACATAACGATGCATCTTCGCCATGAAAAAACCTCGAGTTAAATCCACGACTACTGATTACTTTTTGTTAATATCATATACAGCAGGGTAAACCACAATGTCCACTTCAAGATTAGAGAATAATCACTCCTTGAATCAACGGTTTTTTTTTTTGTATTATAGACACCAACAGCAGCTCCATCTTCTGTTGGTAAAACAAAATAAAATAAATTCACCATTTGTCTAAATATACTTATAAACCATTAAATGCTTTATAGTAGGCTACACTGTAAGAAAATTAGGATTAAATTACACTGATAAGTACCGGCACTCAGGGTACCGGTACTTATCAGTACCGGTACCCTGATTTTGTTTTACTGAACAAAAGTCTGATAAACCATAATTTTCCACTAAATCATTCTAATTAAATATTATTGTAAATTTATGATACAATATTTTCCGGTTAAAATAATTTTACGATGAAATGGATTTTACGATAAAGTGGATTTTATGGACAATGCATCCAAAGTGCCGTTACTTTATATCATAATTTGATCTTGAAGTGTTAAAAAGCGTATTTTCATACTTCTTTCTTTTCATAAATACCAGTTATAGAAACTACAAAATATTAAATTCCGTTACGTTTAGTATGGCACAAGAAAATAAAACGTTATAAGTTGCAAAATGAGATGATTTTAACATTTCCTTGATTGAAAGTAGTAGAGAATTCTAAATGGTCAAATACAATAATTTTCTGCTGTAAAAAATGCGTTATTAATTTTCGAATACCTGTTTTTGACTCGAGCAATGAAACATACTTCCCACAATCCTCAGATGTTTACTTTCTTTGGGAAACACGAATATATTCCTCTGTGATTTTTCTCTTTTTTCAAGGATCTTTACGTCAAACTTAGTTTATATCACCAGGTATTCAGGTCACCTATAGTAGAAGTTTTTTTGAATTTGAGCCATTTATTCCTTCATTTTTTTTAATTGGATTCTATCAAAGTATTTACAGCTTTTAGCTGATTTTATTTACATTTGTATTTAGCCGTGATGCATTTATAAGCATAATTTCATTGTTCACTTCTTTTTGCTCTTTATGAAATAGTATAATTTGACTTAGCTTGTCTTATGTACCTAGAGCTGATAAATTAATTCTATCTAATTAATTATTCCACATGGCTCGATTTTTTCTTATTTCAGGTAAAATTAAAAATATAACTGCTGCACTATAAAAAAATATCAATATTGTGACAGATTATAAGATTTTTATGAATATCAATACTTCTCCTTATTGCTTCAAAGTACTGCTACAGTGCAGTTTACAATGAGTAATTTATAGATATTCTTTAAATATGGCTAAATTAAATATGAATAAATTAAATAACTTTCAGAAATCAACTTATATTTTATTTTTGGCGAATTCAACAAACGCTTAAAACTATGTGTTTGTAGAATACTTACTTTTTATTTTTTAATTGCAACTATATTTTGCATAA